TTTGAAAATAAGTGGATACAACGTTTAAAAACACAATATCCAGCCGGGCTAAACCATAAATTTAACAATATATATAGTACTAATATATAACACTACAAATCAAAACCTACCCACATTTCTCACCCACACACGACAGACATGCTTACGGAGGTGTTGAGGCCTCACACTTATACACACATCCACACGAACATACACACATACGCACATCATACTCACTCACTCCCTAATGAGGCAAATGATAACACACACCCACAGCAATATACATGCTTACACATATCATACTCACTCACTCCCTAAGAACCACACACACACACACACACACACACACACACACACACACACACACACACACACACACACACACTTAACAGAGACACATCCCTTTCTCCAGGAACCAATAAAACTGTCAAACTGACCATGGGAATTCAGAGCAGCATGGATCCATCTAGCTCTTTATCTCAAATAACAAATTAGAATACAAGGAATATTAAAAGATTCAAAATAAAAAAAACAAATGAAAACTACAGACAAAAGTTCATTTTCTCCATTAAGACATTCATTTCTGTAGTTTAGTGCTACCAGCAATCAGAAATATTTCTTCTCCTGATGATGGCCATTTTGGCCGAAACTAGTCGAGGAATCTAAATGAAATAAAAAAAAAACGAAAGAATATTAATCTACAATCCAGTGTGTCTGAAGATTTTAATTTTTTATTTTTTATTTTTTTTATTATTATATATATATATATATATATATATATATATATATATATATATATAAAGTGAGCAGTAAATGTATAAATATGTATTAAGTCAGCAGTGAATGTTCGTCCGCACATGTTTTGATGCATTCAATAGAGAATTTGTGTATATTATATTTTTAAATATGTTTCTCTCATTAACGGGTAAATATAACGAACCTGACTGGAATTAGAACTCGGGTCTCCGATTTCCGATTCCTTCCAAGACGTTTTCCATTACACGACTCGCACATCCAAGCTTACAGCATGTGCTATTCCCAAGCATTCACCCATCTAGGTACTGATCAGGGCTGACGTTGCTTAACTTCGGTTTTTTATATATTAATATTTGATGCTCTGTGCTAACGTATGCTTATAAACCTTTCTTTTTATAGATTTTTTCCCCTAGCATGTGATCCTGTATATTCACACGCTTGCGTTTAAATTGATGATACCAAATCTTTGATTCCTAAGAGGTCGTGTTTCAAAGTTACTATAAGGATTTCCCGTTCTGAAGAATTTTTTCTTCGTTCCCCACCCCTTTTCAAGCAGCCTGCCACACTTCTTTGAGTATTGTGCTTTTAAACTATGGACTACGTGACAACATATCTAGTTTAACTTATGTCTCATATGCTGCGTCTCTACGTACGTTTGTAAATGCAGTCGTGTGCGTATGTGCATTTACAAAGATACTTGTTCGGGTGTGTGTGCGCGTGTAGGCCTGTGATTAAGTAACTTGGCATTTTTCGGTCCGTTTTAAGCATACGTCAGGACCTTAACAAGTAGCATTTGCGAGTGTCATTGAGCCTAAGCGGGGACCTCGCCATTAACGGTTAGTGAGTTACTTAATATTAACCCTTATCAGTCAATGTTGAATGTAACTATTAACTGCCGATGTTTAATCTTCGTGTCTACAAAACGAAAAACTACAAAAAAAAAAAGAAAAAAATAGAAAAAATAAACAAATAATAAAAAAAAGACAGTGTGTCAAAAGGACAATTATTCACTTAACACCGCTATTACATCGTTTTTTATACTCCCTCGGCATTGCTTATTTACAAGATTATAAATATATGTGAACTCACTTCAAAGCAATATTTATTATTTACCATTTTATAAAGAAATAAATGTGAAATCTTTTTATTCAAAAAGGTTTTAAAAAAAATACAAAATTATCAAAATATGTAAGATGAAGAAATGCTCTTCTCAACCTTTTTATTCAAAAAGTTTTTTTTATTTTGAAAAAAAAATACAAAATTATCAAAATATGTAAGATGAAGAAATGCTCTTCTCAACCTTTTTATTCAAAAAGTTTTTTTATTTTGAAAAAAAAAATACAAAATTTCAAAATAAAGATGAAGAAATGCTCTTCTCAACCTTTTTATTCAAAAAGTTTTTTTTATTTTGAAAAAAAAATACAAAATTATCAAAATATGTAAGATGAAGAAATGCTCTTCTCAACCTACTTTTGTAGATTTAAGTGGCGAATTTAAATGAATGAGATACCCGGAAAATGAATTTTTCTCAAATTACAATTACTCATTGTTATGTGTTTATTTAAATTTTAATTTATGAATAACAAGATTTCACTTCATATTTGTTTCTTTATAAAATGGTAAATAGTAAATATTTTATGATAGTTGGTTCATATATTTTTATAATCTTGTAAATATAAAATTAAGTCCTGGATATGACGATAAAATATATCCGGCAACAAGGCCTCTGATCGGAAGATTGGAAGTTCTAAGAAGCATGGAACCACATCTTTATTGCTGTTGTGCCAGGTCCACCCTGACCTGAGTGGCTGCACCTGTTAGGGTCCCAGCTATGGGCAAATAGCGAACTCACAAAAAAACCCCCAAAAAACCCATGAAAGTATAAAAATACATTTTTATAGCAAAATGACCAATAATACATTTTCTCTGCATTTGAAGGCATACAATTGCGTTAAAAATATATTTAATTGAAGCCATAAAGTTGTTCAAAATATTTAGATGTCGGCATTAAATAACCCATAGAGGTGATGATATGTCGCGAAACGAAAGAATTTTACGACATTACCCCATATAATCATACTTATTATAAAACCAGGTTGTGTGTGTGTGTGTGTGTGTGTGTGTGTGTGTGTGTGTTCGTTTATATATTGGATCGGATTTCCTACATTTTTCAACCGATTTCAACAAAACTTCACAGGACTACGTAAAATTACCTTGCGGTGGTTCTGACAGCGCCAAAAATTGAAAAACACTATTGTTTTTGCACAAAATCCATTTGAAAACACAATTAAGAGCCGTCGCTGTCGCAAGAATGAAAGAGGAACAACTCATCTCGAGTTATACTTATTATAAAACCCAGGTTGTTTGTTTGTTTGTGTGTGTGTGTGTGTGTGTTCCTTTATATATGGGATCGGATTTCCTACATGACTGACGAGGCAGATTTTTTCCTGCAGTAGGTTGCCATTTCTTTCTACGGTAGACCAGTTGCTATCCAAGGTTATAAAACCCTATCTGTCCTGCTATTTACCCATAGCTGGTGGGGGGAGAAGAATATTAGCTCGTAAGCGAATGTAATGTATTCGACTGGAATCCGAACGGCTCTCCGATTCCTCGATCCGAGCAGCTATCCATTACTCCTCCACAGCTATATAAGTAGCCAAAATCGGACCCAGAACTTTCACGAATCACCTTGAACGTATGTTCCCTTAACGAGGCCCCGTGTCTTGAGCGTCTGTTGTAACTGAGACTCGACCCAAACCTGCAGTGGAACTCTTACATACGATCCATCGCTAAAGATCCTGGAATAATGGTCGCTTCCCTGTACTGTTCCAGTAAATGCCTGATTCCTACTGCTACCTTCAACTTTTCCAAGAGCCAGATCAGGCCAAAACTGGAGTACTGCTGCCCAGTCTTCACTTTCCAGTTTCGATAGAGTCTAAAAGTGTATTCGCGTCCTTGTGGGTGATGAATTATTTTCCATCCTACAACATCTTTAACACAGACGAGTCGTCGCAACACTCTCGCTACTCTATCCCTAGAGTGTTCAGAAGAACTACACTCTTTAGTTCCCCCATTTCTAACCATCGCTGCTAAGATCCACCATACCAGGCACATTGTAGTGAACCACCCTCGTACCCTTCGTATCCTTTTTCCACTCGAGCAGCTTCTTCCTACGAGCCACTCCCTTGTGGAAATGACTCCCAAGAGTTTGTTTCCCCGATCACTACAATCTTAACCTGTTCAAGTCTAGTGTTAACCGTTATCTTCCACACATATCCGCATAATCTCTGCGTCTTACACTGTAACCCTCTATCTCGAGTGGCCCTCGGGCCTTATACAGGATTGTGAAAACAAAATTACACGTAATCGTTTTAAGATATCCTTATTTTTTTTTTTATAAATCATTGCCATTATTTATTTTTATCATTCTGCATTATGAATGTTATTTCCTTTTCTACTGCATTCTTTTTCAAGACCTGTCAATTGCAGTATCCTTATTGTTAATTTCACTCAAATTTGTTTTCCGTTGTCATAGCAGGATATGACAACACAATTATGAAATTCAAACTTACTATTGTTCAGGGATCAATTTCACCTTGAATGGCAGGATAAACTTTTTGTACAGCAAATGAAATCACATACCGAGTGATAAAAGTTAACTGGTTTATCTTTCACGTCCCTATCTCATTTTTATTACTTTTCATATGAACTCTTCAGGTCGTTTTTACATTCTACGACCGGGCATTTTGTAAACAGCATGAAATTCAAATAAAGAAGTAAATGTCATTGCTAATTTTTGACTAGTTCATCTTATATTCTTTCATCTTATTTCTGTTTTGTTTTTATCACATCATAAGCCGTTTTGTCGACTCTACGACCGCTAAATAGATAGTGGACAGGAAATGGAAAAAACTATATTTAATTGTTTTAAAATGTCTAAATTTCTTAGACGAAATATCTTCTTTGTTTATTTCAGCTAAATTCATCCCAAGCTTCAGTTGGGGTAGTTTTGATGTAATATTAAACTCAAGCTCCATGTGGGCCATCTCTCACCGGCAGTACCTCTCTGTCAGGAAAGGGCTCGAGTCATTAGCGATCCCCACTCTTTAATGCAGTCCAGGTGGTTTGGGTAATTTTTGCACTGTATTGCCGTTAAACTCACTTTAAACATCGACTTCGTGTCACATTTGCTAGCGACATGTGGGCACGTTGAAAAATCCACTTACTTTTGATGCTTTTTTTTTTTAAAATAAAGTCCAGTTGACTTACGGCCATATCATGTTGAAACTACCGATTCCCGTACGATCTCCGAAGTTAAGCAACGTCGAGCCATGTCAGTACCTAGATGGGTGACCAATTGGGAATACCAGTTGCTGTAAGCTTGGATGTGCGGTTAGTGTAATGGATAATGGCTTCGGAATTGTTAATCGGAGAGCCGATTTCCAATTCCATTTCGGTTCGTTATATTCATTTACACGCAAATACACTTGTGAAATATATGGCGATTTTTAAGCGTAGTTTACATTTCGTACAAAGCAAAAATTATGGGTCACCCAGTGAGGATGAATCTCACTACTCAATCGTAATTGTCCTAGTGACGCAAAAATGCCTACCATAATACCACGTCAAGGTACCCAATGATTTTTAAGCGTAGCTCAGATGTTGTACAAGGCAAAAAGTGTGGAGCACACAGTGAGGATCGAACCCACTACTCAGTCGTGATTGACCTAGCAAAACGCGATTGCTAATCTCGTCGAATTTCTCCATTTTCTAAGCGTAGCTTAGATATAGCATAAGGCCGAAAGTGTGGAGTAGGCAGTGAGAATCGAACTTATTACTCAGTTGTAATTGATTTAACGAGCTAATCATTACATCATGCCGAAGTGCCTCCTGCTTTGGAAAATATATGAATCCACCAGCTATAAGTAAGACTTGTATCACTAAATCATTATCATCACAAAAAAGAAATTTGAAGATCTAAAAATATGTCCTGGCTTTAAATAAACTGCAAAGAGTTGATGAACCGTACAAAAATGAATCAATCAATTAATAAAACCGAATTAGTTTCTCTATTAAGAAAAATGAAGAACATTTTAAAACAAATATAGCTTTTTTCTATTTCCTATCCACTATCTATTTAGCGGTCGTAGAGTCAACAAAATGGCTTATGATGTGATAAAAACAAAACAGAAATAAAATGAAAGAATATACGATGAACTAGTCAAAAATTAGCAATGACATTTACTTCTTTATTTGAATTTCATGCTGTTTACAAAATGCCCGGTCGTAGAATGTAAAAACGACCTGAAGAGTTCATATGAAAAGTAACAAAAATGAGATTGGGACGTGAAAGATAAACCAGTTAACTTTTATCACTCGGTATGTGAATTGGGAAAAATGGTTATCGAAGAAGAAACTAGGAAATATAACTGTGCGTGCGTGTAAGTGTGCATGTTAATGTATTGTATGTGTTTTTCTGAATATATATATTTGTGTGAGCGTATGTTTTTGTTTGCCAAAGAATGTCTATAAGATTTTGAATATATGTTTGTATACTTGAGTCAAAGACATGATATGCGTTTTCACCACAATTTCTTTATTTCCACTCTTAACTGTAGTGTAACGGTTCTAGAAAAGCAGCCTTTTTTTAAAAAAAAAAAATTCTCTCCATAACAAGCAAAAAAAAAAATCTGTTTAATGCTGTGTCTTTAGTTATAAAAACGTCGACACTAAGCAGTCTCGAAAATTCACGGAAAACTGTTTGCTGCAGGATAAACATATTCCAGGGAAATCTTTTTTTTTTTTTTTTTTTTTTTTGTAAGCCTCAGCACTTACTTCTAATGTTAGAAACAGAAAATCAAGGAAAAAAATGTATCAGCGATCAGAATTAACGTAACTGTTATTGAACGAATAGTGCAGCGTCATTGACAATGGTACGCATTGGAAATCAAGAAGCAATAGACTTTAAGTCGTCGAGAATTAAACAAACCTTTACTGACATTACTGATTATCATTTGTACTTCTATTTAAACACTAGCAGTAGAGCCCGGCGTTGCCCGGGGATGTAACAGTAAGAGATAGATCAAGTATCGACCATCATAAAGACTAAAAAATAAAATTGACAAAGATTATTGTTTAAGGTTGACGGACACGCATGTCTTAATTAGTTTTTTTTTTTTTTTTACGAATTGGTCAAACCCAAACTCAAACAAAAACATTGTTTTCAATCGTTATGAGTCTACCGATTGAATAGAATTTTATTATAAACAATTGTCTTGTAAAGGGAATTTTTAAAGCATTCTGAATGTAAAAATAAAGAAAAAAGTGTGCAAGACAATACGAAACACTACCTGCCAAAAAAAAAAAGTGAAGTTTTGTTGAAATCGGTTGAAAAATGTAGGAAATCCGATCCCATATATAAACGAACACACACACACACACAAACAACCTGGGTTTTATAATAAGTATAACTCGATATGAGTTGTCCCCCTTTCATTCTCGTGATGCTACTTAATCGTGTTTTCAAATTGATTTCGTGCAAAAACAATTGTGTTTTTCCAATTTTTAGCGCTGTCAGAACCACCGCAAGGTAATTTTACGTAGTCCTGTGAAGTTTTGTTGAAATCGGTTGAAAAATGCAGGAAATCCGATCCAATATATAAACGTACAGACACACACACACACACACACACACACACACAAACTGGGTTTTATAATAAGTAAGATTACATAATTTACTATACTTACTATTACCTAGGTGTTTCGTAAACTTTCAAACACCAAATCTTTTTTAATATAACTTTGTGTAAATTACCTAAACTAGCTGAAAACTCTTGTTATCGAGCGAATGCAGCTCGATTTTGAATACTTTTTAGTTGTTTTCTTAACTTAGCAAACACTAATTTTTTTAAATATAATTTTGTGTAAAATAACTAAACTAGCTGAAAACAGCTCGATTTTGATTACTTTTTGTGTTTTTTGTAATACCAGATTTAAAAAAAAATATCAGTCATTTAGTTATGTACCATGCGTGATACATGTATCTTTCGATACATGACTGACGAGGCAGATTTTTTTTCTCGCAGTAGGTTGCCATTTCTTTCAGTTGCCACCCAGTGCTATAGAACCTGATCTCTCCTGCTATTTACCCAAAAGAGGATTTATACTTTTCCCAAGGTTATTAGCACATAAGTGAAAGTAATGGATTCGGCTGGAATTCTAATTCATCAATCCGAGCCGCTATCCATTACGCCACGGTTAGTTTGTGTAAACTAACTAAGCCAGTTGAAAATTCTTGTTTTCGAGCTCGGTTTTGACTACTTTTTAGGTGTAATTTGTGGGCTGCTGGATCGTGTTATTTAAATTGTGTGTATTACATGATCCAGCAGCCCACAATACTATCAATACTTGGAATTACAAATGTAGCCTTGTGAAAAAGCAAAGTGAAATAGCAAAGGAGAAATTGAACAATCTTAACAGCAAAAACAGGACATTTACGATAAACTACAGGATATAACTACCCCGGACCAACTGGAGGAAATTACACATAGACTCACGGAAATTACTAATAAATCTGAAGCTCAACACTGATTTAAAATTATAAAAAAACTGAATACATTATACAAAGGTAATATCATTCTTCCTAACAAAACTGATAAATACATTAACCTTTCCAACTATGAACTAACTAAGCATCAAAAAGAATTACTTAACCTTGGACCTAACTGCCATATATACCGTAAGTACAATCGACTTTTTAAAAAAATAGAAATTGAGACCCTATACCAAAACATCGTTAAACTCCAGGATGAACAACTAATAGAAACTACACCAGAATTTTAAGACTTACTTAAGGCCGAAGCATTCAAGGATCGGCATGATAAAAGCAGTAACTCCTCAAAAATACTAAACAACTGAAAATTGCCGCACAAGAACTACGCAACCACCCTGATATTATTGTAAAAAAAGCTGACAAGATCAACCTTTTCGTCATCCTAAACAAATTAGATTACAACAAAAAACTTGACCACATACTCCATGATCACATAAAGTTTAAAAAACCCGACCAACCAACTAAAATCAAAGCTTAATAAACTTATTAATGCTAATAATGCTAAACAGAACTCTTTAAAACTCCCTAAAATTGTTGGTGATTATAGACCTGGCTACATATACGGCACTATAAAAACACATAAACCTAACTATCCTCTCCGTCCTATCATATCGCAAATTCCAACTCCTGTATATCATCTAACAAAATACATTAAGCAACTTATTACTCCCTACCTTCCTAGTAAATATAGTGTTAAGTCAACATTAGAAGTAATCCAAATCCTAAAAAGTGAAAAACCCGACAATGAAATCATAGCTTCACTTGATGTTGAAAGCTTATTTACCAATGTCCCTGTTAGTGAAACTATTGACATAATTATAAGAAATATATACAGTAACTCATCTTTACCCACACTTAAAATTAATCCTAATATATTAAGAAAATTACTATTAGCTTGTACTACTGAAGTCCCTTTCTTCGATCATAATAACAATATATATATACAACGTGATGGTGTCTCCATGGATTCAGTATTGGGCCCGACATTTAGCAATTTCTACATGTCAAACCTCGAAAATAAGATATTTACAGATTTTAAAAAACCATCAATCTACCTAAGATACACTGATGATATTCTTATGTTAGTTAAAAATACAGATGAAATACTTCAACTTCAAAAACGTTTCCAAAATAATTCTGTCCTTAAATTCACATATGAACTCAATACTAATAATAAAATTCCCTTCCTTGACATATTGATAAACACAAATAATAACAAATTTACTATTTTGCCATACAAAAATCCTCCAAGCATAAATTCATGTACACTTAACTACAAGAGCGAATGCCCATATTACTACGAAATAGCAATTATAAAAAATCTAATACATCGTGCAGAAACTAATTCATCCACAAAACTGATTTTTTACAGTGAACTAAAGAATATAAAACAGACACTTATTAATAATAGCTTTCCAAACTATATAGTTGATGAACAAATAAGATGATTTCTTAGAAATCTCAATACTAAACAAATAGTACATAATACTGCTTCTGCTAATCTCAAACATATTAATCTCCTATATCGTAATCAAATGCATACTAATTATAAACAAATATACTAAAAAAAAATTAGTAAATACTAATATATCAACAACAGATCCTAGCAAAAAAATTAAATTAATCATATACTACAGTAAATCTAGTATATCCAACTTAATTCTTCGCAATGATTCTTCTCCCCCGGTTAGCGATTTGCAAAAAACCAACATAGTTTATAAATTCAAGTGCCCTTTGGAAGAGTGTATCTCCAACGAATTAAATAATA